TTCTCCAGCGGTTCTTTCCACAGATGTAATCGATCTGATTCCTATGCATGCCATCAGATGAACAATAGCAAATTATGTTTACTGGTTGTATAGCTTGTCTTTCAGCCTTAACATAGAGAAATACCACTTGCTTTAACAAAGGAAGTCCAGATTTCAATGGCATCACCTTATCAAGCTTATTTCTTATTCGCATGAGAGTTCACTTTGAGTGCCCTTCCTTACACTAATTATGGCGCATGTAGACTCTGCTATTAGGATACGGAAGGGCTTCTTTATCGGCAGAAGGATAAAGTAAGGAAGAAAAAGGAGTACTCCACAGATTCGTGGGCTCTTCAGTGTCACACATCACTTAAATGCACAGCTCACTGCTGAGAACTGGCCACACGCACAGCCTGGATAGAAGGGGAGTCCTTGCTGACTGACTCACTTTCCCAGCACCAACCGAATTGTAACAGTGACGTCATGCAGTTCTGATGAACTGTTAGTCATCTCTGCCCAGTCTTCCCTTTGGTATAAACCAGAGCCATAACCTATCCTCTATAAAATACAGCAGCGCTTTGAGAAGCAATAAGGCACACCGAGCATTTTACTTGCATGTAGAAGAATCTGTTCACTATTTAAGTGGCTAGCCTTGACATAGTGACTGTGGTGATGGTTTCAAGTATGTCGGAGATGGCGAGGTTGGGTCAGGACAGGGCAAGATTCAAAGCCATTGCTCATAGGTTCACTCTGAGTCATAGTCAACTCGATGGTACATAACAACAAGTGCTAGAACAGAGAAGTTGTTGGTTTCATTATACTTAGAGTCACCTTTGATGCCCAGGGAAGCAATAATCAAGAAATTAGATAACGTTGCTTAGGGCGTATCTCCTGTAAGACACCTTTATAGTGTTAAAAAGCAAAGATGTCATTTTGAGAACTAAGGTACCCTAGAATTTCTTCTAGGTCATGTAACCCTGGTGTGTCCACTTGCTGTACAGAGGTAACTCGTGTTTGCTGTGAAGCCAAATACTGCTACCCATGGTGGACAGTGTTTGGTGAAGCTCCCCAATTAAAATACGTTTGGAAGCAGGAGTGGCATCCACTTCCACAGTAGCTTGCCTCTGGAAAACCCTTTGAACCTGGAGATAGGATGAAAGTTATACAGGAGGTGTCCAGGACCTTCGTTCATAGGGTTGCTATGAGTCGCCTGTGACTTGACGGCACTTAACAACACTAACACCAACAACAGCATAAAGAGAGAGCGAGCAGTTGGCCTAGTGGACAGAAAGCCATGCTCCCAAGCCAAAGGTGGGTGACTCTACTCCATGGCCCTCAGACCTGCCTTTAATTGTTTTTGGTGAAACATTCTTCTAGGTTGTGTAACCCTGGCATGTCCACTTGCTGTATGGAGGTAACTTGTGGTTGCTGTGAAGCTGAATACTGTTATCCATGGTAGACAGTGTTTGGTGAAGCTCCCTGATTAAAACAAGCTTGAAAGCAGGAGTGGCATCCACTTCCACAGTAGCTTGCCTCTGGAAACACTGTGAACCTGGAGAAAGGACTAAAGTTATACAGGAGGTGTCCAGGACTTTTGTTTATAGGGTCGCTATGAGTCACCTGCGACTCGACGGCACTTAACAACAACAAGAAGTTTCCCTAGCCCATGCCTTTATATTTTGAGATCACTTTATGATGTGCAGCCAAACCTGGACAGTGAATAAGGAAGACTAAAGAATTGATGCCTTGAATTGTGGTGTCGGTGAAGAATAGTGAATGTGCCATGAACTGACAAAAGAACCAAGATGTCCTGGGAAAAGTACAGCGAGAGTGTTTTTTAGAAGCGAGGGTATCAAGACTTGCTCATGTACTTTGGATCTGTTACCAGGAAGGATTAGTCCCTGGACGAGAACGTCATGCTTGGTAAAGTAGAGGGCTCAGTGAAAAAGAAGGTGATTATCAGGGTAGATTGATCCAGTGACTCCAGCAGTGGCTAAAGCAGCAGAGTGGTGAAGTGCAGGACTGAGCAGTGTTTTTGTTTGTTGGCTGTAAGATGGTTATAAGTCAGACTGGATGGTGCTGGGTAATAGCCATGATCAAATGAGAGGACTCATTAAATAGATTTAGGGTTAAGTACTCTGATTCTGCCAGCAGGCTGACCCTAGTTTGCATCCTGCCTTAACAGATTAGCTAGGTGATTTAATGAAAGTTATTTCTTAATTTTCCTCAAATAATAATGGCATGTTCCTACCAGTATAACAGTAGTAGTGACCTCATAAAGCTATTGTGAAGATTAAATAAGATCCGATGCCTGCTATATCATAACTCCCAGTAAAAGGTAGTTATAGCAATAAACACTACTAGTTTACTTACTGAATGATGATTTTTTTTAAAAAAAGTTTAAGTCAGTTGCTAGTTTGTGCCCTGTGATAGACATCAGTTAAAAGTAACAGCAGGATTCTCATGCCGGGCCATATTTTCATAGATCCAGGAGGCCACTTTCAGTGTTCAGAATTTACTAACTAGTGTGTAACTTGGGCAAGTCATATAAACTTGGGCATCTTTTACTGTATCATCTTTCCCTTTCTACCTGTCTAAATCATAAATTGCAGAGTGAAGTCATTATGTTGTTTTATCTGACACTATTATGATATATTGTTATATAAAAAGAGATCTTAGTAAATTGAAATCCAGATATCTTGAAGATTGTTCATACTGATGGTGCCAAGTATTAGAAAATATTGCAAGCTCACATGGCATCCTTCAAACCCCACTGCACTCCAGCCCCCAATCAGAATGCATCTACGGTCACAGGGGCCACCTAGATGTAAAAAAGTATGAGAGAAACACAGAAACTGAATTTGAGAACCTTCTCAGAGTAAGATTTTGTTTGTCTTGTAGGCATTTTGTCCCCAACATCACCTTCGGTCACCCTGTGGTAGAAAGCCTTCGAAAGCAGCTAGGCCAGGACCCTTTCTTTGGTAAGTTGATGGTAACGCCATCGGAAGCTGGCTGTGTGACTGAAGGAAGGGAGAGGTGGATGGCTCATCTCTTAGCTTCCAGCTTCATCCTTCTCCTCTTTTCTCTCTCCCTCACACCATCTCATTGAGAGGCGTCCTCTTTTCGCTGCTGACCCTCTGCCTTTTCCGGCATGAGGTCTTTCCCCAGGGGCTGGCCCTTCTTGACGCATCCACAAAGGGTGTGAGATGAAGTTTTGCCATCCTTGCTTCTAAGGAGCACCCTGGTGTACTTTATCCAAGAATCCTTAGTATTTTGTTCCTGGTAGACAGAGACTAATTGTTCTCTTTTAAGCTAGCTGCTCAGAAGCGTTTAAGACCCCTTATGCCAGCCACTTCACTAAGATGCACATCATGAGTTTTAGGAATGATGCTATGCCAAACGATGAGCTGTCCCAGGAGACTGTGATCCTAGGCTTTTAACCTGAGGAAAGGAATCGTGGCAGGTGCTTGGTTATATCTGAGAAGTGTCTGTGTCCCTGTGAACGTCTGTGCCTCTACCCACATTCATGTCCCTATAGATAACTTCCTCACCAACAGTGTTGGCAAAGTATTAAGTATCTCATAAACTGGCAACAGATCTAAGAAGGACACTGAAAGCTCAGAGAAGAAATAAGTGTACACAAGCCACAACTTCATTTTACTCTTAAGACCAGAAGAACTAGATGGGGTCCAGCTAACACCTCAGATCATTTTACCTAGAGTTATAACAGGTGGTCCTGGATAGAAAGGGAGAAAACGATGGCACCCTCCTGAGGGTATGGGATGAAAAACATGGAAGCAGAGTGGCTGGTGGGTTCAAACCATTCAACTTGACAACCACTATCCCAGGGGTCTTTGTATGAATCAGCTCATTTACCCTTTCCTTAATACTGTTTTCATTTTTTATTAGTAAATGATATTTTAATATATAATTGTCCATTTTATAAAACTTAACTTGTTCATTGTGTAGTTCTGTGAATGTGGAGAATTGCATAATCATGCAATCACCATCCTAATCCAGATAACCGAAAATATCCATCACAGTCCCCTACCCCTCATATTCCGCTGTGTCGTCACAGTCTCTCAGCGCCACTTACAGCTCCTCGTAACCACAAATACTTCTCCTGACTCTTATCTTGCCTTTTCCAGATTGCCATATGAATGACTTCTTTCATTTGGCATAAAGAATTTTAGGTGTGTCTGTGCTTCACTAGTTCGTTCATTTTATTTCCTTTTTTTTTAACTGAGTAGTAACCCACTCGGGGGATGGACCACAGTTACCCTGCTGTGGCTTGAAAAGGTGAACGTTTTCATAGTTTCCTGTTCAGTGACTTCTGCATTTTGCTTTGGTGTGACAGCCTTCCTGGGTTCTTTAGCTCCGCTTGTCATTTGAGAGCCATCATCTGAGATTTGCTTTGGGGCAAATCATGCCCTTTTGGTTTTGTATGATTGACTGTTATGAGAACTGCATTCTTTCTGGACATAAATGTTCACTTTATAGGCTTACATGTCCATTGTTTGAAAGATGATCCCCTGAGGTAGGTTCATGTCTAGGGTTGAAGATGTCCAAGGACCACTGTCTTGGGTTCTACCAGCCTCTCAGACCAGCGAGTCTCCGGTCTTTATTATGATTTTGAAGTTTATTATACATTTCCCCCCCTGCTTATTCTCTGTGGATCTCCTACTGTGTATCTAAAATTTCAAGAGTAGAATATAAATGTGAGACTACATCATTCGAGAACTACTTACCTTTTTATAAGCACAATTTGCTGGACCATCAACTCCCTAAGCGTTGTTGAGATTATCCAAGGAGAATTGCTGGAGGTACTTGCTTGCTAGAAATTCATTAGGAATGATGTAATAGTCTAGTAACCCAAGGAATGGGTAAACAGACTATTTTAAATCAAGTTGAATTTTCCTTGTTTATAATAAAATATAAACTTAGAGATTATGAACCAAAATAAGTTAGCTAAAACTGCAAAGAAATATGACATACTAAGTAGTAAAATGTTTTTTAAAAAAAATACCATTTGACCTGTATGGGTGTTTTTGTGTGTGTGTGTGTTTTTGTTTGTTTTTTGGTTTTTTTACTGAGTAGTAGTAGTTATTTTGCTAGCTTAGAAATCTAAAATTTAATCTTGGCTTAATTAGATAAGCGGTATACTACTGTTCCTGATGTTTCCCAAAGCCTTATCATTCTATAATCTTGATTTAGGACTGCAATATTAGAGGGGGTTTTGCTTGTTTTTAAATATAGTTCATTTATGTCAGAAATGTGCTGCTTCTAGCCAAAAAACCTCCCAACTTTTTTACAGCCCCATATGCTTTCTGTGGAAACGTTTGTTTTTTTTTTTTTCTGTAGATATTTTAACTAAAATTTTGTATTCAGGATAAAGGAAGATAAGATCAGTGAGTAAAGCTGTTCACCTAACACATGTTTTGGTTCAGAAAGAGTTTAGATCTGAAATAATTAGAGGCTTGCCTTCAGTGGTGTAATCCAGATATTTTTCCTTTCAGTAATAATTAGATGTGGCTCCTCTTTCAGACATGCACATGATGGTGTCCAGGCCTGAACAGTGGGTGAAGCCAATGGCTGTCGCAGGGGCCAACCAGTATACCTTTCACCTGGAGGCTACTGAGAACCCAGGGGCTTTGATTAAAGACATTCGGGAGAATGGGATGAAGGTGAGATGTCAGGAGTGATGGGACCAATTAATTTTCTTTAAGAGTTTGAAAAGTTGATAGAAGATGTTGTTGTTGTTGATTGCTGTCAAGTTGAGCACGACTCATAGCAACCTCATGAACAAAAGGCCTGAAGCCCTTCCACAGCCATCGCCATTTATCAAAATTCACAGAGTTTCCAGAGGCATGCTGCTTAGGAAATGAGAAGATGGGCAGCCGCTATTCTTAATTCTTCATTGAGGCTAGAGTTGAACTGTCAGGATTTGCTAGATAAGATTTACTTACTCTACCACTGTTTGCTAAAACTTACTGCCTTTTGAAGCATTTTGACAGACTCTGTTGACTTTTTATCTCTAAGGCTATGGTTTGAGTGTTCAGTTCATCTTTTCCTCTGTTTAAGAGTTTTCTTCTCTTGAGAATCGCATGTCAATAAATTACACAGTTAGAATTGTTCATTTGGTGATAAATTTGTCTCTGTTACAGGTTGGTCTTGCCATCAAACCAGGAACGACTGTTGAGTATTTAGCACCATGGGCTAATCAGATAGATATGGCCTTGGTTATGACAGTGGAACCTGGGTTTGGAGGGCAGAAATTCATGGAAGACATGATGCCAAAGGTAAAAAGAAAAAAAGTGTTTGATTCTGGGGAACATTTTGTTAAGACTTAAGTTGTAAAAATTAGAAAATATATTTCATCTATACTGTAAAATTTTCTTTCAAGACTATTAATTCTGAAACCTTTAGATCTCTTGAGAGTTTTCATAAATATTGAGGCTGTTGGTTTGGTTTTGATAAATTGTGTTCTCTGGTAGCCATGGCAGGTTAAATGCCATTTGTCGAATAGAGCATAGGTTGGTTCTAATAAAATTTAATTTCTTTTGGAACATTAAAAAGATTGTGTAGAAGATTATACATGGATGAGTCACAATGTAAACAAATGTATGCAAACCAATAAAAAAGAGGGAAAATAGGGGGGGAAAAGCATGTTTCCCTCAGTAATTATATGATATAAAGTAAAATGTGTGAGACATTTGGAGACATATTTTAGTGACTGTTTTTATCTTTGACTTTTTGTTTATGTGATTGTTTACTCACCCCTTGTGCATGTTCAGGTTCACTGGTTGAGGACCCAGTTCCCGTCGTTGGACATAGAAGTCGACGGTGGAGTAGGTCCCGACACTATCCACAAGTGTGCAGAGGTGAGACTGCGCCTTAGTTGTGCCCAAGGCTGACTCCCTTGTCTCCTAGACCAACACATGCCTCCCTGCATTTCCTAAATTGACTTTTCTTTGTAGAAAAGTATTATTATTCACGTATAGAACTAGGATAAAGAACGGCAAAAAGTCAATATTCTGAAGTCATACAAATTATTACGTAAGAAATCTCAGTAAGACTAAAGAAAGGATTTTTGTTATTATTTTTAAAAAAGGATATGCTACACCTTAGGTCTTTGGAAGATCATTAAGTTTCAGGACCTTGGGTGAGAAATTTTTCCATATAACAAGAAGGGAAAAGGAGAAATATTAAATATTAATGAACCTAATTGACATGTTACTGTGATCGTCTTAGGTGTAGTGGTTGTGCATTTGATAAGCAAAGAACTGACTAGCACCACTTTAGATGAAACTACACCTGATCCTGGATACACCTGTGACCTTGTTCGATGTAGAGATTTGCTTCCAGTTTCTAGGTTACCTTAGTTAGGCTCCTGAACTTCACAGGAAGGAAGACACCAGTTCTCCCAGAGCACTGTGGGTGATTAAAACTCATGTGGCCTGCATTTATTCAGCAGCATAGTCTGTTTGCACTTCCAGGTTCTTGTATAACTGCCACCCTTTTCTGCTTGATGATTCTCAAAAGCTTGGCTGTGATAAATATTTATGGAGGAAGAGCTGGCCAAACAGTGAGCATATATCCTTTTGATCCTTTGTAGAATTGTTTTTTATTAACTTGTGCTTTACTATGCTCCAGTTAAAAGACATACTGAGTGGTAAATCTGTATAGCTCATTTTCCATGAGGAGGAGTCCTCTATGCCACAGAGTGACAGGCTCTCATGGGAGAGATCAACTTCCTTGTTTCTCCTCGTCAGCATCCCCTCTGCCTCCCTGTTCTGGGAATGAATCACCTAACAGATTGGGTTTCCCTTGAGCCTAATTGTAGGATACTCAGACTAAATTTTGACCTATCTCCCTGCCTTTCTCTTTGATTTCGCTTGGACATTTAAAACTGTCTTGAAACATTTTTGAAGCTACATTAAAACTATTCTGCAATGTGTTGAAACATTAGAGACTAAGTAATTTTTCTGACAGCAAAATGAGAAATTGTTTACATTTATGTTGTCATATTTTGTAGATCATTTCACCTTTTAGAGAACTGACGTCGTAAGATTGTCTGAAAATCCTTATACCTGATTTAAGATTTAAAACAGTCATTTTCATTTTCCAGGAGCCGAGGGATATTGATATATATGAGAAAGAACCTAATAGAATGAGCATTAAGATTTTTAAACCGTAAAATAAAACAAAAAAAAGATTTTTAAACCTTGTACCCAAATATGTTAGATTACCAAAAAAGTAATTGTTTAGAGACGCTTAAGAGTAATTTCACACTCTCATTTTTTAGCTTTTTTCCCCGTCCACATTAAAATACTGTATTTGAGTAGGTTCCTTCAGCAGTTTCTATACAGATGGCTTAGTGCTGTTGATGACATTGTTCCCAATGACTGGACATTCTGGCCCAGGCCTGGTTGGTGCGTTCCCCATAATCTAGGGGATTGCTTTGTCCCGTTACCATCTCATCTTAGTTTTAAAATAATTGTTAACCTTCTGTTCTCATATTAGGGGTTTTTCAGAAGGACACAGTATTCATGGGTAATATTCTGGATTGGGGTTTTTGTTTGTTTTATTTTTTAGCTAGTCTGTTATTTAGCTATATAAAGTGACTTCAGGAAGTTTTGGTGCAAGGTATTTCAAGTTTCTTTACAGAAGTAGTCTTGGGAAATTTTCTAGTTTGAGCCAGTCTGATAAGTTTATTAGAATTCTGTTCCATGTTTTTGTTCCATTGCATCAGTGTCCGTCTGTTGTGGCATGAGCAGAATGATCATAGAGGTGGTTGACGAACTCTTCTTAGTTCTGGTCTTGGTTAACAAAGCCATGGTTAATATAAACCGTCCCATAGATTAGTTACTTTGAATCTTGGATTTCTTTCTGTGTGACTCTGTATGAGTAGAAACCAGTAGTTGTATCTTAGGTGACTGCTCACAAGCTCTTAAGATCTCAGATACTACTTCCCAGGCGAGGTTAAGATGTAGATCTTAAAGTTTTGCCAGCTGTCTTATGTGCCAGTTAACTGAGTTGCCTTGACAAGACTGGTCACTAAGCCCTCAAACTCAGAAGGCCAGTGCTACAAGGCATTAGGTTATGTCCGGGGGATCTCTTACTATGCTCCTTGTGTTCGCCATTATACGCAAATGTAGATATACACACATGCCCAAACATGCACCCACTCATACATACACACCACATGCCCCATGGCATAATTACGTATACGGTTAACTGAAATGGTGGCAGTTTGAATACACCAGTTGCTCCAGGGGGAATGGGCATTCTCCTCTCATGAAGGTTCCCAGCTCTGGAAGCCCTGGAACCTCGCTGTGAGTCCGAATTGACTTGATGGCAGTGAGTTGGGTTTTTTATGAGATTCCTGTACACTGACCTATATATAGATTCATTGACATGGATCTCTTTTTATCGCTGCTGTTGCCGATGGTTTAGGTGTTTTGCTCACCTCAAGGTGGCTTCTGTGTGATTACAACAAGGTAGATGGGCAGACGACGAAGTGGACACTCCAGCCCAGGGATTGTGTGGTAGGTTCTTCTGTGTCTTCCTTGAGGCATAACCTGTGTTTACTTCTTCCAGGCAGGAGCTAACATGATTGTGTCTGGCAGTGCCATTATGAGGAGTGAAGACCCCAGATCCGTTATCAACTTGTTAAGAAATGTTTGCTCAGAAGCTGCTCAGAAACGTTCTCTTGATCGATGAAATCTCAAGCAGCCCAGTGTTTTCTGCTCTTGAAATCTCCTTTTTACTGGAAAACAAGAATATTGACTACCAAATCATATCACAGTTTAGGAAGTAAGGCTTCTCTGATCAATTATTCAGTCATTCCAGTAACTAAATTTTATAGTGAAGAATGTTCTGAGAATTGAAATGAAATTGGTATATATATTACATTTTCATTTCTAGTGATGGAATTTAAAGATTGGTTTGGTGAATACTTTGTTTTGTACTGGGAGACTTGATTTTTATAAAGAGTAAAACTATGACTGTATTAAAGTTAGAAAACAAATTATGTGTCTTAATGCTAAAGAAGGCATATTAGCTTCTATGAGAAAAAGACTTTTTTTCTGTATTTCTAACAAGAATTTTCTGTTGTTTCTCATCTGTTTTGCAAAAAAGTCATGTTTTTCCTGTTTCATATTAATTTGTGATTTGTGCATATATGCTTGATAATGACTTATATGGGAGTTATGAAAATTCCAAGCTTGGGTGAGATCCAAAGGCATCCAGAATACCTGTTGTATCAGAAATCCTATTTTTCACTTTTCACAATACATTTGATGCATAAAAACTATAAAAAATAATGTATGAGTCCAAGGGCTTTTAGGTGGTCTGTGCTCTGTTCTGAAATGTCAGCATAAATGTACTCTCTCAGCTCTGCTGGAAGAGCAGGTTATTAAATTTTTTGTCTTAATTCCGCCATTCTTAAGGACATGAAATTATACTCTTGCTTTTCTGAATGGAAGGGAAAAGTAAAGCCTATATAAATTACAAAGTAATTAAATCTCCAAATCACTTCTATGATAGGATAAGGTTTTTCCCTGATTTGAAAAGAAAGAGAAAAACAACACCTGAAGTTCAGCAAAAGACTGGTACACTGGACAAGATCCAATAAGGAAAGGTTTTCCTGGTCTGTACTGTTTTTATAAATGGAGCCCTTAAGAGATAGGCTGGGCAGAGGAAGCTTCTTAACATTGGTTCTATTGGTTTATTTTCAGTTTAGTGTTACCCTGTAGCAGACCCAGATAGCTTAGAATATTCCAGAACTTTAGCTGTTGACCTGAAGAATATATATTTTTCCATGTGGGGTTAAGTGAGCTAAGAAATTACTTCAAGTACTGATTTAGTCCATAAACTAAGTTTGTTATCCGTGCTCCAGGTGATACTTAAATGATGTATATCAGCCACTTGGTTCCTACAGACATTCTTGCTGTATAAAATATATGCAAGAAATAAGATGACCAATGTCATTAAAGTTCTTTAAGTTACTATACATTCTGAAGGAAAAATGGTTTGAAAAATAACAATGTTAATACTTCAGTATTAACTAGATAGATCTTGTTTTTTCCTAACACTTAGATAAATTCTTGTTACCTAATACTTGTTTTTATTTTGACTTAGGAAAGGGTGGTGCTTTGAACAGGTAGTGTTTAAGCAAATCAAACAACACAAAGTATATAGAAATAACTTTTAATTAAAAAACTTACGTAGAAGATTATATTGTCAGACATGACAGAAGAGTTGAGTTTGCCTGGACAACTTGGGTTTGCCTGGCTTTCGTTTTCTTCTTTAAAAATAAAGGTACAACGAAACTATATGCAGAAGTTTGTCAGTATTGAAATATTTTTTTTCCCTTTAAGGGACCAGTATAATTTCTAATCCCTACCAAAAGTTTAGTGTCAAATCACATTATAGATACCAGCTGATAAGGATTGTCAGTTATACAGGTATACAACTCAAATAACTTTTTTTTTAAAACAGAAGAATAAAGGATTCGTAGAAATTGTCCTCAACTATCACATAGAAATAATGGTATAATAGTTTATAAAAGATTTTCTCTAATATATACTCCTCAGTATCTCATATTAAAGTATCATCCTTTGTAAATGTTTTAAGTCTAGCTCTAGGTTGAAAGTAGGAGTAGATGGTATCTGAGTTGCTGTGGCACAGAATGACCAAATTGCTTGAGATACTGGTATTTTTCTTTTATGCTTATATGACTTTCCTATTTGTTGTTCATTTCTTCTTTTCATGAGCTACATCACAGTTCTGAGGGCACAGTGAAAAGCAAAATAAAATAAGTATAACTCAAAATTGGGTTTTCGAAGATGTGACAGTTTTTAAACTGCATCAGTATTTAACTGTTTAACCTGTCTTAAATATTAGGAGTGAACAGGAAAGATCCTGTGGTTAGTCCAAAAGAAATCATCAATATCAAATAGATGAGCATCTGGCATAGGAATTTCCATAAATAACAATGTCTACTTTTGGTTAAACTGTTTAAACAAACCAACTTCCCTCTGCACAGGCAAAATTTTTAGATTCTAGTGGAAACGTATGCTTCCTTACATATAAAGTAGCTTATATTTCATGGGGTAATTCATTCATGCATTTTTCAAGTCTGAGTTATTGCCAGTGTTTTTCCTTTTAAATGTGAGTATGTATGTGTATACAGAATATATACACATGTATCTGTTTTAATGTGTTTTCAGAGATTATTTGAATCAGTTACCGTGAATATAGAAAAAAAGATTTGACTCATAGGTGTGTGTGTGTGTGTGTGCGCGCGCATAATCTTGAAAATTATTTACCCAGTAATGTAATCTGACATCAAATTCCAGCAGTCAGTTTCTTGGTGCTAGTGATTTGCATGCTAAATGCAAATGACTATCACTTGTCTAGAGGTGGAAGGCTAGATACTCCTGTGTTTCAAGGAGGGATAAGAGACTTGTCTTGCTTGTTTCATAAAGAGCAAAAATAATAATACTACATGCAGTACATGCTCTTATTCTGGAACTGTGACTGAGAGGCATGGGGGGGAGTTGAAAACAGGATGTTCCCCCACCCCCCACTCCTGGGTTTCCCTCCAGTTATGTTTCATCATTTTCTTAAGCAACCTCTTTCCTGTCACCTGTTTTTTTTCACATTAGTAAGTCCTAAGCCAAAGATTCTGTAGTCTTCTGTTTGGTCTCCTGATGGCTTTTGTGGATGCTGGCCCTTCTCTGGTGCACTGGTACAGAAGACACCACCCTGGGGAGTAGGGCTTAACCTTTCAGTCTCCTTACTTTTTCCATTGTGACAAGATAAAGCTGCTGTGTCTTCTTCCTTCAGTGGGAATGCCCTTCGTTCCCACCAGAGGCACTAAAAAGAAAAATACTTAATGTCTTTACTGTTAAATTCACTCATTACAGTAATTCATACATCTTCATTTTGGAATAAGTCATTCTATTATTTAGCACATATTGTATACGTTTATTGATCTAAGTATTGAGCAACTCAAAATGGAATGTACTGAAAATAGTTTCGCAAACTTTGGGAATTATTTTTTCATTTGGTTAGAGGCACTGGTCTGTTCTGTTGTGTTTTCTTGGTTTGGTATTTTTTTCCAGCCTACAAGCATTTGGAAAAACCCCTAAATAGTCTATTAAAATTTGGTCTTCTGCTTGCATTTCAGATCTCCATTTGTATCCCACGAGATCCCTAATCACAGCTCATGCCCTAAGCTTTCTGCAACTATCAATTTTGTCTTCACCCTGCCCATTCTAGACATGGGTTGTTTTTTTATTTCCCAAGACTCAACTATGATGAAAATTTATGAATTAACACTCCTCAAAATTAGAACTAGATCTAGGGGATAGACTTGTAAGGAGGAAGAAGAAAAACAGCTAACATTTATTTTGATTCTGATTTCTCATCCCCTAATAATTGAGTCAATAGATAGACGTTTTTGTTGACAAGTCACACAAACACGATGTGTATCGATTTAGTGGTGGAACTAGAATATATGACTGTACAGATCTTTATTCTTAGCCAGCATTCTATCCTGGAATGTCTTAACTGACTGTGGAATGATGGGTCCTTAATTTCCAAGAAGCAATTTCTAGAGCAAATCAGAAGCAAAACAAAGGTTAAAGGTTCAAGAAGTCGTTGAAATATTCATATGCTTACCTTGCTTTCTTGATTTTCATTTAACGGAGGGGAGCCTTGTGCGCAAGGATCCTGAGTTTCTGAAGGCGGCTCCGGGGGACTTTGTGCCACACAGCGCTGACCACCGCTGCAATCAGAGTATTCTTTCCAGAGCAAGTCCTGTCCTTCAGCATTTTTACTGAAAGCTCTAACAACAACAACAACAACAAAAGCAAGATTACTTCTTTCAGGAAGACCTAACATTTTATGAACCCAAGTCAAGTTTGGGTAACTTGTATTCCTTCCCAAAATAATTGAAAAATTCACTTGCTGATTTTTCTGATGCAATGATTTTCGTACTGCAAAGGTTTCTACATAACCTTTTAAAACTGTCAAATTACAATAGTGATAGAGGATGCTTTTTTATTTGCTTCTGTTTTTATAAGAAAGGGGCCTAACCTCCACAGTCTTTCAGACTGCTCATGATATTTTGAGAGTAATGCAATCTCACCCATAAGGATTACTCAATGCATGTTTTTTTTTACACATCTAGAAAGTTGTATTTCAGGAGTATGGAGAAAGATGAGAAATCTTGTATATGTTGCTTAAGATGACCTTTGAAATAGTGGATCCACATAGCAAACTTGGATAGTGTGGTAACTGAACAGTTTCAGTGACAGTGATGACATAAGACATTTCCCTTAACTAAGTGACTACCAGACTTTATAGAATTTTGCTTGTTAGGCTTGATTATGTTAAAACTAATGAGATATAAAACGCCTGTCTCTATCTTTTTAAAAATTATCATTTCAAAGATCAATAATTCCAAGTATGTAATCATAAATTGTGACCTTATGACTTATTCTCCTTTTCCCTAGCCTCCTTGGGTTTTTCAAGATATTTTTAGGCTATATGTTTTTTAGACTGGACAAGTTTCTTGATGAAAATAATGTACAAAATACATTTTTTATGTATTTATATTAAACCAGATTATCCCTGAGGTTGACAGACAGACAGGTAAAACAGACAGAAATTCATTTTATCACTATGCATTTAGCTTGAGTACATTTTCTGTGTAAACTCAGTGCGTGCACTGTTCCTCTTAGTGGAGAAGCGGCTGCTGGCTTACATCATTATGGCCCCCTTATTTTTAGTGGCCTTCCTCAGAAGTCATGCAGAATCTGCATCACCTGCACAGATGCCATGGGTACACGCAGAAGTCTCCAGCACTGACCTGCTGCTCCTCCTGTGCCACTTGCTTTGCTCCCATAGTGACCACCTCGCTTGTTCTCTCTCTTCGTATGCTTTATGCCTTAGGGAGAAGACTTCATCAGAAAGATCTTCTATCTAGAATCAAAAAGAAAACTTGGACTGTTGCTTTTACTAGGAAGATGAGCAATGAGATTCAATTATAAACAATTGCTTATCATGGAACATTAGAAAGAAAGCTTTCAAATAATTGTGCTCTAAGCCAGGGGACACCTGATAGCTTTGGGATGAGTGTCAATTCCTAAAAAGAGAGGACTGAAATGGAATACAAAAATCTTTCCTCTTGGGTTATACGTGGAAGTGTGCATAGACTATACTGTGCCGCATTTGCCACCGCTTCCTTAAAGCGTCCCTGCTGCTTTATTCCTCTGCTGAGTTTCTGATTGCTCTTTATAGACTGCACACTGCAGGAATATATGTTAAAGAAAAGTACAAAGAAAATACATGGGGCTCTTATTACTTACCTGGTATTCTAACCTCAAAGCCTTTGATTATAGTGTTTAAGAATTTGCACTTTTCAACAAGAGGCATTCTGAATTAGTTATGAGCGGGGGCATTAAAAAGAATACTGAAGTTAGGACAAGGTGACCATAGAGCAGCGTCTCCGGCCACATGGACACTTTGGAATTTGTTTGGTCATCAAGTATTTTCCCCCCTATAACTGAAAGGTAACTTACCTCTTCACCTAAGCTGTCATCCAGAGGTTGAAGGACAACCAATCTCCAGCTGTTGAAGATACAAACCAATTGCAAATTGCTTTTAGTAATCTACATTTTCTATTTAGCAATTCTCCAAGCATAGCTAACAACAGGCATGTTTATTTTTCTTAGAACTTCCAAAAATTTAAATAGTTGTATTTTAAAAAGAATTATTTTTAAAGGAAGAAAAGCTTATCTAAGGAGAATTGGCACAGGAAAAGATAAGGCTTTATTTTTGACCTAACAATGAAAAGTTTCTTAATGTGTAGTTGCATTTTGTTTTAAATGAACCTGTTTTTACTTAAGTCAGTGGTATGCTGGTAAACTGGCTTAGAAAGGGGGGGAAAAGGGAAGGAAAAGCCTTGATTTATAGCCTCTTTATAAGTGGTACAGCAGTTATTTGTCGTTTCAGTTGTTACTGAAGTAACTTGGAGTTGCTGTGACGCTGAACACTGTTCCATAGTTGTGTCAAACACCATAATGGTTACCCATCGTGGACAGTGTTTGGAGAAGCTTCCAGGTTGATTCAGGTTTGGAAGCAGGAGTGACATACACTTCCTAAACCAGATGCCTCTGGAAACTCTGAACATTAGAGAAATGATGTTAATTACAGAACAGTGTTCAAGTCTTTTTGTTTATAGGGTTGCTACGAGTTGTATTTGACTTGACGGTACTTAACCACTGCTGAGACCAGTATTGTTACATATTGGAGAAATACATCTTCTAATTTGTACATCATCTTTGTAAATTCGCTGGTTTGCTGTGATGCTGAACCTTTTGCCATTGGGATATCAAATGCCATCATGGTTTCCCAATGTGGACAGTGTTTGGTGGAGTTCCCACTTGTAAAACAGTTTTGGAAGCAGGAGTGCATGCCTATAGAAACTCTTAGGAACTTACTTGGAGAAACAATGATAGTTATAAAAAGGCATTAGGGTTTTTGTTCATAGAGTTGCTATGAGTGGTGCTCAACTCAACAGCAATCAACCATCAGTTTCTTTGGTGTAAAGGTGCCCGCCATAGTCTTTGTTGATCTACAGTGAACAGCTGGCTTAAAGAAGTCCTCTTTATTAACAACCAGCTCTGCCTAGACCCAACTGCAGCATATCACAATACCATGAAAAACTATGCTGCTATCGAACATCAGAACTAAAATGTCCTTACGTAGCCCAAATCAGCAGATTCTTTGGAGGATCCCTCACAGTACTAAATAAAGTATGGAGAACTCTCTTGGTACTGCATAATTAACTAACAGAAATGGGAAGGTCTGTTCTCCAGCCCTTCTTTCTCTGTTTCTTCATAGTTCCAGATACGTATTCTTAAGAAGTTCAATGATGTTAAAAAAATGTAACTCTGGGCAAGACGGGGCAGGCACCTGGTAGTCTGGTTCTAACTCTTTAGCTTTCTCTCTTCCTGTCACTATTCGCAAAAGCTCAATCTCTGGCCAAGCCTTAATTTATGTACAAGTCACTTTGTCTTTGTTCTAGTTTTCTCTATGTAAATACCCTTCTTTGCCTTCCCAGATTTTCCTGATCTCACCCATTCTTTTGAACTCATTTTCTATTAATGTGATTACTGTCAACTTTGCAACACACCAAAATATTTGTACAGAAAGAATACCCTAAAGAGTATCTTTTAATTCTTTTTTGCAACCCTGCATCTTTAAGGGCAAAGATTTTCTGTTGTCACAGCTATTTACATTCCTGAGTTAATTTTAATATCATACACATAGTATTTACTTCAATATCTCTGAATGAAAATGTTAAAGAGTGCAAATTTATCAGCCAGGGAGCTCTTGTGGCCTGGTGGTAAGGAGCTGTGATGTCAACCCAGAAGCATGCAGTTCTAATCTACCAGCTGCCACAAGGGAGAAAGAGGGACAGTGTCCTCCCGTGTGATTTACTGCCTCTGAAAAGCTGCAGAAGGATCAACTATGTGTTGGTTCGGACTCAGTGGCACACAACATCAGCCAGTCTAATCTATGAATTAACAGTTCTTAACAAAAACTGAAATGTACAGTTATGCTTGACATTGTATGACCCTGTTCTTTTTCAGCATGAGTAGCGTAAGGGGTATTTTCACCATTGCCCGCCTTCCATAGTTACACAAGTGGGAAAGAAAAGGGGGACATCCTCTTTTTACTGTAAATTAAAAGCAGGGGAAAAAAAGATGTAAGTATACATACCTTGGGGTAAGTATTTCTTTGTATTGGAGTTTCTCCAACTTAGCTGGGGCCACTAATGACATGGGAATCACAATGTTATCTATGTCATAAGAGCTCTCACTTCTCAGTCTCCGTCTTGTAGTGTTCTATAAAACAGGACCACAGAGTTTTAAGAGAGGAGCATCTGTAGTTACCTATGATGATACTCTTTCATGAGTTATATATGTAAAGACTTTATAAACCTGGCTATAGACTGTTAGACAAGAGAGCCTATCAATCTTAAGTAAGCTAAAAGTCTCCTTTGATAAGTATAGAATGTATATTTGTGCATACATTCAAGTCTATTTTTAGACCATAAGAAAAGTAAACACCTTAAAATTCTGTATAAAAATTAAAGCACCCTCAATGTCAATAAAGTGACCATTTTAAAAACTTTATTAGGAAAGGCGAGGAAGTAGGAAGACAGGTCAGAATTTTATTTAGGCTGTCCTAGCTTCTACAGCTAGAGAAGCTAGAGAACAGACTACGTATGGTAAGAAAAGAGTGAAATTATTAATCAAGAAATACTGTAGAACTATTTGTTTTCTAGTTAAAAAGAAAATTTAAAAAACAGGAGATTCATGATTTTGTATTTATATAATTTAAAATGTGCTAATACATGTTCTATTTAAGAAGGATTATTGTACGTTAGAAAAACTAAGCTGCTTTTTAAAAATTGGCTTATTAAAGTTAAAAAATTTAAGAGCTAAACATATAGAAAAAAATAACGTACTTGTGAAGATGAATTCTGGGTTCTTGGTATAATGTTGACATTGCTCACAGCAGTAAAGCTGCCATGGGATCCTGATTCTGTGCGTTGAAACTCAAATTCTTCAAATCTGGCTCTCTCTGCTGCCATGGAAAAGAACCATTCAGAATATAACATGTAAGTTTTGATTGATATAATGTCATTACAGTGATTTTCCTAATACAAGTGACACAAAATTCCTTCTCTTTTATTTAAATAAATGTATCAAGAAAAGAAACCACCTAAACCATAATCCAACTGTGATTACACTTTATTTTCTTAACTCTTCTCTCATATTATCCCCTAGTTTTGAATTTTTGTTCTTTGGGAATTTTCTTAAATTTTGATCCCCTCCCCTTAATTATCCACTTAATTTTATATATTATTGCTGAGTACCATCCAATCAGAACCAATCTATAGCTGACCCTCCAGGGGTTTTCAGAGGCAGTTAATTGCATGGGAGGAGATTGCCCATCTTTCTCCTGTGGGGTAGCTAGCTGGTGGATTCGAATTACATGCCTTTGGGATTGCAGTGCAGTTCCTTAACACTAGGCCACCAAAGCGCCCTATATATAATTCTATATAGTATGTTAATTTAGATCTAACGTCTCAGTTCAGTTACCTTGTGTTAAGGGCCATCGAGTCAGCTGTAGCCATGGCAACTGTAGGAATAACAGATATGAACCTTGCCCTGTCCTGCGCCAGCCTCACCATGTCTGACCCTCCACCTTTCCCAGTGTGTCTGTTTCACAATACTTCTGATTTGGAGATTAATTAGGGGAGGGAAGGGGCACTAAAGCATAAGGAGACTGCTGGACACGAGGGGCGAGGTGATAATTCTGTAAGCGATTACATAGTGGTTATCAAGTCGTAACTAAGTCTGCTATGGAGGAATTTCTATGGAGAGTAGAGATAGATGTGTTGGCCATGGTGTAACTGCAGGTTAGTATATAATACACATAGTATTTTCTCATATATGATTGATACTACACCTGGGAAATTTTTGAGTAATTTATCATTCACTGGAATAATGATTATATAATTTGCTATCCAAGGTAGGTCTTGCCATTTTCCTTTTTTTTTTTTTTCTTCATTGTTCATAATTATTAGGGCAGTTGCCTTTCCCAGATACCCACAACAACCCCCACTGGGAGTTTAGAACATATCCCTGAATTCCATCCATGTTGACGGCTGGCAAAAGATGACAGTCCAGTGAGGCACCAGTGTACACACTTGCTTTTTAACCTACCTACTGCTGTTTCACTCAAATGTCTTTTCTTTCTTCCCTGGAACAGCTGTGCAGGAGATTCTGACCTTACTTGAGGTTTACATGTAGGTGAATATCCATTTCTCCATTGATTCAGAGAAGTACAATGGACTAAAACAAATGAAATAGGAACTTTTAGTTCCATAACAGATCATGAAAATGTTAATCTATTTTACTTATTGGAACACAGAACTTTAAGGTGGGTGATCAACATTAATGAAATAAACTATCAAGGTGTGAAAATTCGCATAGAACAGGATTCCTTAAAAACCACCTCAGGGAGTCCATGCTTTTCCTTACATCTGTACTATTTGAAGGAGATGGAAAGATGAGGTGATCTGTTCTCAAAATCTTCTGAATTACTAAACTTCATAAGGTTAGGGATGGTTGGGATCTGTAAATGTTGGCTAAGTGTGATGTGAATCTATAGCTTCTGTTGTTACCCTTAAATCTGGAAGGAATTCAGAACAAAGTGAGCTGCTCCAGGGTCACAGCGAGACTGGGACTCTGAAAGTAAGGACCAGATTGCATTCACCTGTTACAGTGCCTTGCACCATCTGTTCATCTTTTTAAAAGAGTGAATTTCACATGACTTTTAAGTCACGTAACCTCTTGATGCCTCTGTTGCCTCAAGTGTAAATGGGATTGTGTTAGTGAAAACTCTTGTGAACATCCAGTATCTAAAATAGTAAATATTACGTGAATGCTATTGTCTGTCTGAACCTCTTATGTCCATAATTGTATTAATAGCCAAATTGGCTTCTTTTTGAAGGATAAGCAGATGTGGAAAGAAATAGGAAATGAAGTGCACAGGCTGAAGGGCCAACTTCCAACATCACTAAAATAGAGAATAGCCTACCAACAGTGCCTACGATTCTAGTTTAACAAATCAACCTAAGAATGATAGACGAGATTTATGTAGATTTACATATAGCCATATACATTCACATCTATACATTAGAAAAGGAAATGGTGAGTAAACATTTCTGAACAATCTTAAAAGACTCAAACATTTGAATTTTAACTGAAGAGGAAACCCAGAGCAAAAGCACATGGATAAGGACTGCCACAAAATGATCTGCACCAAAGTTACCCTCCTCCTGGCGAGATGGAAATGGAGCAGGGCAGATAGAGTGGATAGGGTGACTGCACTACAGTCATACCACTTGTGGTTGTCTGAGTAAGTAGCATAATCTGAGAGGTTTAAGGCCCAGGAATAGACAGGCTGTAGAAAGAGGCCAATCCTCAAGGTGCCCTAACTTGAAACATGTTCAGCTTATCCCTAATTTCCTCACGATAAAAGTGTGGTGTTCAGACTTCCTTGATTTTCCCATTAAGAGGATCCTGTACATACATGTGGCGGTCTTAACAGGGTATAATAGTTTTAAAGATGAACACAAAATTCCAAAAATTTGAGGAATACCAGTAATACAGAACAAGGTAGAAACAACAAATGCAAGAACAATCTGAAGGAAGTTATTGGAACATTCATAGAGAATTCCGATTAGTATTATCAACAAAAAGATTTCTTTAGAAAGATCTCAAAAAAATGGAAAATTACTGAGAATGTAAAAAATGATTTGGCTCAGTATTAGAATGAAAAAGTTCACAATCCAGAGCAATAAAGACACAAAAAACTTAAGTGGGCTGCAAACCAAAGTCAATTCATGGGAGAGTACAGAATGAAGTTGGAGAGTAATACATGAGAAAAAGATGAGTTTTGTGCAGTTAACCCTCAGATTTCACAGAACTCGTCTGTTAAACACGGCAAATGGAAAAAAGTCATCTGCATGTGAAAGATGAAATAATGTAAAAGCTAACAGGATAAAAAAAAATACTTCAAAGAAATGACAAATCAAGTGGACATACATTGGATGCAAAAAACAGCGACTTTAAAGACTTAAATAAGATGTGGAAAGAATAATTTTAAGGTTGTCCTCAAGATTTCTCACCAGCCTAAAAAGGATGTTAAGTAAGAAGTAAAAGATGTTAAGTAAGATGGCAGGAGCAAATGAAATCCTAAAAAGGATAATTAAAAACATATGACTGAGACAAAACATTTTACTAAATATTTTAAAGCAAATCCTGCAATATTTATTCCTTGTTTTTGAAAAGCAGTTCATTACCATTCTTATTTTTAGGGGCACATCAATGGAAATCTTAAGTAGTTTTCCATTGCATTTTAGTAAGTTATTGCACATCATTTTTCTTTTTTTTTATTTTTTTTCTTCATTTTTCTTCTTATTCACTGGTCTCGTAGAAGGTTGCAAAGAACCCTTCTAACAGTAGGAAATACATGAAATCTCATAATCCAACTTACAGGCATTCCTTTCAGCTGGTGGTAATAGCCCTCCTGGTATTACTGTTCTTTCTTTCCCAAATCCTCTCCTGGATTCCACCCAAAAACACTGCACTTAGACTGCTCCTCTTCTCTCTCCCAAAACCACCTTGTATGTTTTATCCCCTTGACATTGAGTTAATTCCAACTTAATGGTCCCCCATTTGGGTTTCCAAGGCCATAAATCTTGACTCAGACCATGGTATTTTCAGTTACTAGCTATGCATCTGAAAGCTGGACAATGAATAAGGATGACAGAAGAACTGATGCTTTGGGTTGTGCTGTTGCAGAAGAGCACTGAATTTCCCGTGGACTGCCAAAGGAAAAATAGATATGTCTTGGGGAAATGGCAGCCAGAACACTCCTGGAAGGCAAGGATGGTGAAGCTTTGTCTCTCATACTTTGGGCTTGTTGCTAGGTGAGGCTATTTTTTGGAAAGGGACATCATGATTGGGAAGGTGGAGAGTCAGTGAGAGAGGAGACCCTCAGCAGAATGTATTGACTTCAGCAATGGGCACTAGCCTCAAGTGTGTCAGCGATGAGAATGACACAGGATAGGGCAGAGTGCAGATCTGTTCTGTAGGTTTCCCAGGAGTCCTACTGGAAACTTGATGAGCCTAACAATAATTTTATGGGAGGAGACTGCTTCTCTTTGTCCCTTAGTTTGCAGATTTGAATTTCTGACCTTTGGATTAACAGCCCCAATATATTATAAACTAATTTAGTGCATACCAGCATGTCATATATTCTGCTTTCCTTTCATTCAGTATTACCAGGGAGACAGTCTTTATGTCAGGCACTTTGCTATAACTGGGGAATAAATGTGAGCCAAACCTAGGCCGTGCCTTTTATATCATTTACAGGCATTATTCAGAAGAAGAAATTTATCACTGAGAACATGTACTTTAAGGATCGCATGTAGTAAGAGGACATTTAGTGGCATAGTGGGCTAGGTGTTGCAATATGGACTGAAAGGTAAGTAGTTTGGATCCAAGAGGGAGGAAGAAGAGCAGCCTCTTCCCCTAAAGATGGGAACCCAATGGAAGAGTCTCCCCAGGGAGAGTGAGAATTTGAAAGGTGAACAGAAGTAGCTGGTGACAAAAGGAAGAAAGAATTCTATGTGGGAACAGCATGTACATCGCCGTGGGTGGTCTACTAAGCTTTAGGAAAGGCCTTCGCTGGGGGAGTAATGGATTTGAAAGGTGAACAGAAATAGCTGGTGAGAGGAAGAAAGAATTCTAAGAATTGGGAATAGGACCTCGAGGGCCCATGTCAGGGGGACTTTGGAAATGGAATTGCAGCTTTGTTGTGGAGGAACTAAGGAATGTGGTGAAGAACCCTGTTTCAGACAAGAGCCAGCCAGCTTAAGCATGTGGGATGAGGAGGACCCTGTGTTAACAATATTACTTCCTCAAGAAAGAGGAAAGTGATAGCGCTAAGAAGCAAAGAAACATTTACATTTTGGAAAGTTCACTCTGGCTAAAGTGACTGGAGGACCAGTAGAGGTAAGAGATCATTCGGTTGGATTATGAGAGTAGTACAAAAGCAGCTAAGAAGTGAGAGTACATTCACATCACATTCACAATCTGGTGACGATTTAGACAGTGGGTGCAGCCAGAGCCCAGGTTTCTGTTTCTGGTGGGGTGCTGCTGCTGCTGCTGTGTCATCTATGCGTTAGAACTCGCCATCATTCACAACCTTGACTCTGGGTGAGTACGCCGCTAACTGCCATCTGGTTGGCCTGACTCGTGACTATGGCACAAGGCTGTTTATTCTTTAATACAATACACTTTGACTTTTTCCTGTTTCCTTGTTGCTAAAGTCAGCAATACTATCATTAATCTAATGGATAGTGCAGGATTAAGCCAAGAAATGTTGGCAAGGCCGAGAAAAATACTGTATTTACTAATTATCCTCATACAATTTAACTTTCAGGAATTCTGACCTATTTGATATATCACACACAGAGTTTTGTGTGGACTTGTTTAAAATCTGACTGCTCAATGTATGTCAGGAACATCTGAATCACCTGGGAGACCTTACTGTTGTTGTTGTTATGTGCCGTCGAGTCGCCTGCGACTCATAGCGACCCTATGTACAACAGCCCTAAACTCCACTCTGTCCTGTGCCAATCACACTGTCTCTGACACTCCCATCCCAATTATCCCAGTCACTGAATCAATCCACCTCATAGAGGGCCTTCCTCTCCTGCGC